AATGAAACGCCGAGAACGCCGAGTTCTGTTTGCTTCCTTTTTTTCAATATGTATATGTATATGTAAACCGGATCAATCTTATCAAAGGCAAACTTTTCGTCTCATATCGCGCACACATTGTGTCTCTAAAGAATTCCAGATTTATCGGCGACTCGAGAAGTAACACTAAGCTCAACGAGAAAGTTAGATAGCAATATGTAAAAATGACACGCTCGCGAGAATCGAGAGAAATCGTACGCGCGCCGCACGATTATTTAATTTCACTCTCTATTTCCGATCGAAATGTAGCGCACAGCAACTATATACGACAACGGCGACGGCGACGACGACGACGACGACGACGACGACGACGACGACGACGACGACGACGACGACGACGACGACGACGACGACGACAACGACGACGACGACGACGACGACGACGACGACGACGACAGCGGCGACGACGACGACGACGACGACGACGACGACGACGACGACGACGACGACGACGACGACGACGACGACGACGACCACGACGACGACGACGACGACGACCACGACAGTAAAAGCTTTCGCGAATTTCATATTCATAGGTTGGAGTAGTTCACCAGCTGCGAATGCTCCGGAGTGAGTTACGTGACCAATAACACGTCGTTTTACATGTGAAGTTGTCGCAAGACCCGTCACACACGCTCGCGCTTTTACGCCTGTCGCGTTAATTGCCGAGTTCTTTCGTTTTCTGCCTTTTTCCCTATCTCGCTCTCTCTTTCTCCTTTTATTCCTCTTTTTGTTCCATCCGACGACACGACTTACAGCCGTTTGATTATCTTGACTTGGCCCTTTGCACTCGAATGTTGACTCGCGAAAATTGCAACGTATAACACTCGCGTGCACAACGACATTGCCGTGTAAACTCCGCATCATCCGCGTCCCCATCGCGTGGACTCTCGTTTTTCAAGCAGGATGCCGATTAATTCGCCGTATGCATTTAAATGTGACAATTAACGACCTAATTTTAGCGCCAATTACTCGCTTTTCTCTCTCTTTCTGTCTCTTTAATGATAATTAGGAAGGCGTCTCGAGTCGTCGTTGAAAATTTCACTTTTATCGCTGAAACTTTCGTCTACCAGGGAAATACTTAATAATCGCCAAAGAGATTCAATAAAACCAAAGGGAGGATTATCATAACTCGTGATACTTACAATATATTTCCAGGAGAATTGACACGCGACGTTCCGGCAAACGTCGCGCCGTTTTGTTTCTAAACATGAATCACCTCTACGATGATTCTTGCGGGATATTGCGTGAAAGCATCTCCTCTTTGTCATTTTTGCAAAAGTGAATATGCGTATGCGACAGTTGAGAAAAAGTATATTTTCAAAACATATGATGCAAAGTGCCACATCTCTCTTTCTCTCTCTCTCACACACACACACACCCACACACACACACACACACACACACACACACACACACACACACACATACTCTCTCTCTCTCCCCTCCTCTCTATCTCTCTCCCTTTTTCTCGCTGTCATTTTTTCATTCGCACACTTTTTTTACGCTCCGTTATATATATATATATATATATATACATATATACCTAACATAATGTGTCATTCAAGATTATATATATATATATATATATATATATATACATATAGCCCTTTTCAACATTATATAATATTGTACATCATACGCGTTACAGTATATATACAGTATATATACAGTATACATAGGACTATATACATACAGTATATATACAGAGTACATATACGACTATCTACAGATATTATACAAAAACGCAGGTCGTGTCCCGCGCGGAGCACTTAACCGCATCAATTATATTATCGACGTTAATTTTTCGATGCACACGCGCGAGCGTGCCTGGGAAAAAAGAAACGGAAAAAACAAAAACACAAAAACCGCACGATACGTAGGACGCGTGTGTGTGTGTGTATGTGTGTGTGTGTGTGTGTGTGTGTGCGCGCGTGTGCGCGTGTGTGTCGGATTATGCGGCCGTTATATACTCGAATAATAATTATGATGATGGTAATAATAATAATAATAATAATAATAATAATAATAATAATAATAATAATAACATACATATGTATAATATGCCCTGATGGGGCACGCGCGCGCGAGCACGTTCGTTAATTTATATTTATCTTCACGAATATTATCACATTTTTCGCTCTTGCGCTCACCGCTCTCACTTTTTACCTGGTACTGTTTTGCGAGGCTTACGCCGCCTCCTTCGCCACAATATGAACGCACCTCCGTCGATGGGGCGCGCTCGCACACTCTTAATTGCTAATCGAGGTCTGATCGCGACACCGAACACAGTTCATCGCCATGGGACAATCGTGATGATAACAAGTCTCGCGATACGTTGTCGGATTGTCGATCGGACCGTTCCTGAGTGACGTTGTCAACTACATTATAGTTATTAGTGGATATAGGATGTGCGAGTGTCTCCGACATTAATGCCGCCAAATTTTTGCATGATCGCTCTCTTGATTGATTACAACGCAAAAAGTCGTGCGAAACGTCCGTTGGAAGAAAGATGGTACAGTGTACATAAAATATGCGACACGTCATTTAGATCCGCATTGTCATTATTACAGGAATTAATATCAATCAACGAATTTTGCGTGTTGCTATTTTACGCGTCGGTTATTCGGTTACGCAAAACGCCGTGGTTTCCATACCACGGAATCTCAAACGTTTAAGAGTCGCTGGGTAATGTGCACGCGAATGTATGTCAAATACAATTATAGTTGAACGGTGAATTAATAAATTGGATGGACTCTGTGTAATTGACGTTCACTCGCTTATTTAAGCAAAATATTAGAAGAGACGATAAACGTGCACAATGCGACATGGAGAACTGTCTGTTTCCAATATAACCGACATTGCGAAAGAATAAGAAAATAGAACTTCAATCAAAAGTCGCGACATCGAGACATGTGACATTTCTATGCGAGTCGCGAGAGAGAAAGAGAGAGAGAGAGAGAGAGAGAGAGACAAAACTCTTATCACCTCCGTTTCTTAAAAAAGCGATAAAAATTAATAATTGATTCGACTCACAACAATCCGCGCGATTCAATGCTCGATACGTAAATGCGGCGATAATTGTGAGATGATAAATAATACTCGAGCAATGCAGCAAAATCGAGATCAATGACCGCTGTTTAATGGAGAGCGTCAACAAGGCATCATCCAGGTAACTTGATAATTCCAGAAGAATCTTTGCTATCGGAGAATCGATATCACGACGACGCAACGATCATGTGTGATAAATTTACACGATTGAAAAATTAATATTAATTTATCGAACAATGATCTCTCTCTCTCTCTTTCTCTCTCTCTCTCTCTCTCTCTCTCTCTCTCTCTCTCTCTCTCTCTCTCTCTCTGCTCTCTCTTTCTCGGAACATTACGATTCTCGAGGAAAACGATACTTGGCAGAACTCTCGAGTACGGGCGCCGAGTAATCACACGCGGTAATCCTGATACGATAATGCGCGAAAAGTAGAACATACCGGCGAGATGCAAGCTATATCGCGTAGAAGTATATATCGACGTCACACTCGAACAGCGTATCGCGAAAAACTCTCACGCGGTTCAGCGAAATCACGCGATTACATTCGACACGATAAACGAGAACAGTGTGATTCAGTGTACTCGATTATTCAGACGTATCCGTCGAACACCTCGCTTCTCCATTAAATACCGTCATGCCAAATTCAACGGATCGAGTTGTGATAAAACACGACAAAATCATTCAAAAGGAGACTCAACAATCAATCTCGTTTTGAGAAAATCGAGAGTCCTCATGTTCTCGCAAGAGAGAGAGAGAGAGAGAGAGAGAGAGAGAGAGAGAGAGAGAGAGAGAGAGAGGGAAAGAGAGAGAACAATCGGTGTGAACAACAGTAATGAATTTTTCTAGGCTCACGAGAGACGATAGCGACTTTAAATCTGCTTTATCACGACTGTTGTTTGCAATTGTACTTGAAACGATGCTTGCCGATCCGTTTGTTTGAGCGACAACTCGATACTTGAATCGTCAGTTTACTCGAGCATTAATTATCGCGCACGACTAATCGAGATCAGCCGGAAACGATACGGATCTCTCTCTCTCTCTCTCTCTCTCTCTCTCTCTCTCTCTCTCTCTCTCTCTCTCTCTCTCTCTCTCTCTCGCTTGTTCATGAAAACAAAAAAAAAAAGGAAAAGAAACGGAAAATTTCGAGTATCCCAGAGTCGTTGACGAGTACAAACATACTCCTCCCGATACCGCGACTGCGACTCGTTACGCTCGCACATCCAATCTCCAGGAAGCAGGACTGCTCTGCGCAATCCGCAATTCGGATCCGAGCGCAGGAAGCAACGTAAACACCGACTTTGAAGAGTAAAAGACAACGTCAAACCGTGTGATTCTCCTTTCTCCCGAAACGATGAACCGTGCGATCGGACCGTAACAACACCCCGGCAAAGTGTGATGATGGGTACCTCCGGGTAGCCGCGGGCGCACATGTCTACCGTCTGTAGACGACGGCTCGACTCTCCTCCTCATCCTCCTCCTCCTCTTCCTCTTCCTCTTCCTCTTCCTCCTCCTCGTCCTCGTCGTCGTATACGTCGTCGTTGTTGTCGTCGGGCGACCAGCAAGCGACAGAAGCGTCGACGACATCGTCGTCGTCGTCGTCGTCGTCGTCGTCGTCGTCGTCGTCGTCGTCGTCGTTGTCGTTGTCGTCATCCTCGTCGTTGTCGTTGTCGTTGTCGTCGTCACCCCTATGACGACGGCCAACACGTCGACTGCGCCGCGACTGCGACATCCGCGACTGCGACAGCGATGAGAAAGTGGACGAGATCGTGGTCGCAGGCGACGACGTCGGTCTCGCGGTGGTGGCCGCCGTGGTGACGGCGCGAGCGGGTAGCTCGTCATCGGGCGTCGTCGGGGATGTCGGCATCGGATGTGCACCTCCGGAGGCGGCGGTGGCGACGTAAGCCGCGGCGGCAGCGACTCAGGCCAAAGCGTAGGGGTGGGTAGCGTGATGTCACAAGCCCGGCGCCGCGGTGGCGACGGCAGGAGGCGGCGGCGCGCTCGTGGTGGCCACGCTGGTTACGTGATGGTAGAGCGGGCTCTGATAGTACTCCTGATGATGATGATTCGTCATGTGCATGGGCCCGGCGCCGTTGGTGCCGGCGTGCATGCCGTTGTGATGATGATGGCCAGGCGGCGCCGAGTGCGCGTGCGGATGATGCGGCGAGCCGAAGTTGGCGTAGCTCTGGTGCAGCTCGTACATCTTCATCTCGGGCGGCTTGGTGTCCTGCGCGCCGGGCGAGGTGCCGGCCGTGTCGCGCGGCAATAACCTGTTGATGCTGAAGGGATGACTGGTGGCCGTGTAGAGCGGCTCTTGCTTGAGGCTGCCGGTCATACCGTGATGCAGGCTACCGGTGTCGGACAAGAGAGTCTGGTGCAGGCTGCGATTCACCATGGCGGAGAGCTCGTCGTGAGCGGCGCCGAGCTCGGGCCCGAGCAGACCACCGATATCGGTGCTGTCGCTCTTGAGGACGGTATGATGCTGATGCAAACCGGCCGGATGGTGATGATGATGCGTGGACACCAGCGAGTGCAGGTCCTTGTCGTCCTGCTGCTGCTGCGGCCCACCGTGGTGGATCGAGCCGCCAGTTTTCTTAGAACCGGGCGCACCGACCTCGTGAGTGGGCGGACTGTGCTGACCGGCGATGGTCGCGCCGGCGGCCGCTGCCGCGGCGGCCGCTGCTGCCACATGATGCTGCTGGTGTTGCTGGTGCTTGTTGGTCTGTCTGGTCAGCTCCTTCTTCTCGTCCTTGAACCTCTTCTGCCGACGCAGGTAGCAGCCGTTTTCGAACATGTTACCGCTGTCCGGGTGCAGCGTCCAGAAGGAGCCCTTACCGGGCTTGTCGGGCGTGCGCGGCACCTTGACGAAGCAGTCGTTGAAACTGAGCGAGTGCCGGATGGAGTTCTGCCAGCGCTGCTGGTTCTGCCGGTAGAACGGGAACAGGTCCATGATGAACTGATAAATCTCGGACAAGGTGAGCATCTTGCTGGGCGCGTTCTGTATCGCCATGGTGATCAGGCTGATGTACGAGTACGGCGGTTTCGCGTGCGTGTAACTGCGCCGATAGGACTTGTCGCTGCGCGCGCGTTGCAACGCCGAGTTCGGCGAGTCCGGCTCCGACAGAGACAAGGGATCACGGCTGACACCGGCACCGCCGCCCGGCGTCAGCGGGCCGTATCCGACGGCGCTCATGCAGGCACCGCCGGCGCCCATGGAAGCGCCGCTGTAACCACCCATACCGCCGCCGCCCATCGCCGACGCCATCCCCATGGCCGAGCTCATGCTGCTCATGTTGAAGCCGCCGGCGCCCTGCGGGCTGCAACTGGGCCCGACTCCGACGCCCATCGTCATGCCCATCGACACGCAGCTGTTGATCGAGTTGATCGAGCTGTACGTGGGCGCCATACTGCCCATCCCGGACATCGCGGCGCTGGTCATGGCACCGGCGTCGCCGTACAATTTCTGCGACTGCAGCATGGTCATAGAGCTCACCGGCGCCGGGGTGGGCTGCTGCCGCGTAGCCGTTGTCAAACGGGAGTCATGAAAGCCGCGATACCACGGCTGCTGGCAGTCCGGCAGTACTCCCTTAATCTTCCCACCCGGACGAGAGACCGGGCGAGAGACACAACAAACTCGCTCGCGCTCGCGCTCGCGCTCGCGCGCGCAAGCGCGCTTTGCAGACTTAGCGCTGGCTGCGCGCTGTCACTGACTGCGGCGAACACGTTGACGTTGCCGCGCTCGATTCACGACCACGACGGTCAAATCACAGTCGACGGAGCAAACCACGGCGTTTGCGAGCGGCAGCGGCGGTCCTCGCGCTGTCTCTCAGATCCAGCTATCCACCACGCGCGTTTCTCGAGATTCACCGAACCAACCGAGAATCACCGGGTTTCTTGCTCTCGAGCGCGCGGCATGTTGCGACAGCACTGAACGACACACTGAAGCCCGGGAAAGCCTGGGGAAAGAACCGCGGCTCGCGAATAGGTCTTCCCCGGGAGACACCGGGCAGATCCGAGAATGGTCGGATCTTTGGGGAACCTCGCGCTCACGGGGTATGATCTTCCGGACACACACTGGACCGCGTCCGTTTCTCGTACGACGACGTAACGAAGGAGAAAACGGACAACGTCCTTATCCTCCCGACGATGCACAGTACGCACAGTTCCGCAGTTTGTTCACGCCGAAGACGCGATGGAGCACTCGACGAGATGCGGGCGAACGCGAGCGGCCGAGCGAACGAGTAAGCAAGCGAGCGCGAAAGGGCTCACACCCCGTGCTAGATAGGGGTAATAATTGTTGCTCCGACAACACAAGGACACGGACGCAGGATGCGATGTCGACGATGACAAGGTGGAGAGAGAGAGAGAGAGAGAGTGTGTGTGTGTGTGTGTGCGTGTGCGTATGGATGTGTGTGTACTTGCGTATGTGCGTGTGTGTGTGTATGCGTGTGCGTGTGTGTGTGTGTGTGTGTGCGTGTGTGTGTGTGTGTGTGGTGCGTGTATGTCGGTAACGGGGAGGACAAGTGCGCGAAACAACAACCACCACCGGAGCCTGGGCTCACACGGGCTCTCTCTTCGTCGACCGCGCGCGCGGTCAGTTATTTGATCGAGCGGGGCCTGTTTGAGACCACCTCACCTCACCACACCACACCACTCCGCCTCGCTTCAACCTCGCTTCTCTCCTCTCTCTGTGTGCCGTGTGGATGGAGGCCGGTTAGCGAGTGTACTCCGCTACTCTTGAGTCGGCGGGTCTTGTTCAAACACACCCCACCGTCGAGCGTAGCTGCCGCGCCCGATGCTGCCGGCCCGCCAATCGTACCCAGGGTGTCCCTGGCGCTCGGATGGTATCCGACCAATCCGACATTCACGTCGGTGTGGTCGTCGTCCCCTCGACCGATCTTTGAATCCCGACTACGCCGCTATGTGTGCACTTTGGCCTTCCCCTTTCTCCTCTCCACAGCTTCTCCTTCCCCTCGCATAGTACCTTCCACCTTGGCGAGATAGGTTTCGGTGGTGGGCAACAGAATGGAACGCGCATGCACCGTGGTACACTGTACCCCGTGGACGGGAAATAGACTTGCGCAATAACGTTCGCGCGACACCCGATCTCCACCACCTACGGCTGCCGCGGTACCGTGGTGGTGCGCCGTGCCAACCCGACCCACAGCGGTCGCGCCCGATCGTACCCTGTGCCGCGGATGCCGCGGCTCGCTCGAACCCGCTTTCTCCCTCATGTCATGTCAACTGTCGTCTGCCACGCGTTTGACAACCGGTCGGCCGGCCGGCTGGCTGGCCACGCTTCGCGTGCATCTCTCTCTTCCCCTCCTCACCTTCTCCCCCCTCACGCCCCTCTCCCACGCTCTCTCTCTCTCTCTCTCTCTCTCTCTCTCTCTCTCTCTCTCTCTCTCTCTCTCTCTCTCTCTCTCTCTCCCCCCTCTCTCTCGCTCTGCCTCTCCCTCTCTCTCTCTCTCTCTCTCTCTCTCTCTCTCTCTCTGCCTCTCTCTCTCTCTCTCTCTGCCTCTCTCTCTCTCTCTCTCTCTCTCTCTATTTCTCTCTTTCTCTATTTCTCTCTTTCTTGTCGCGCCGAGCCTTTTTGTGCCTGACTTGTTACGCGAATCGCGCGTCCTGCGTCTGTTGCTGTTTCTTATTATTCTCTTCTTCGGCGACTTCCGACGCGCCTTCTCGCCATCCGCATATCCTGTACATCCTTGCGATATACCTTCTGCGATCGCTCGATTTGGAACCGCTCTCTCGTTGTCTTCTTACCGCGAACGCCAGGAAACGCGTGACGACGACGAGGTTCGTGATCACATGAATTCGAAGACGAGGCGACGACCGTAGTGCTTGGTCCAACAATGAACGTCGGCGACGGCGAAAAAGTCGACGGTGAAAAATGCAGAGTGCAACGTGAAGACGTGAGTACAATGTCATCTGCATCAGTGTGTAACTGTGCATCGGTGTCAATTTGCTTTATTGCTCTTTTTTTGTTTCGTTTTCATTCACAATTCAATGTTACGTTTTTCTTTCGCTACGTCATCTTTCTCCTCACGTGTCTCACGCGGTGATATTACTTCAAGTTTATATCAGTTATTCGCCAAGGATTGCGGCACGCGTCCCTCTCTCTCTCTCGAAAGCGTATCTCGCGGAAAACACAAAACGATGAAAAATCGTGCAACCCGCGCTGTTGCTTGAGAGCGGCTAAAAAAAAAAAACGGTTCGTGCGCGTCCGACGAGTATGCCGCGTTATTTTGCTGAATCGATCCTGTCAGGGGATCGTCCACCATTATGGTCGTCCATTGGCCGACGGGGAACGACTGTCAGCACGCAACGACCATACAACGGCAACATATACATCTCAGTTTTTCACTGTGGATGTTCTCTCTGCAAGCATGCAATTGTTGCAGGTAACGTTACACCTGACGGTTGTACACAGAAGAAAAATTTTCGACAAAATTAAGCGGCTCGCCGGGTTCGGATTCACAGGTCGCAACATAAGAGGGTAAGTCCGAAACGGGAATGGAGAAGATATGCCGTGTATATGTGTGTGTGTGTGTGTTTGTGTTGAGTGTACTCGTGACCATTCGTCCTTCCAAGAAAATATCACGTAAAATCGTCAGCCATAATGACAGACCACGGAAGTGTTGGTTCGTTGGTTACAACAGTCTGCGACTCTGCGATATATACGCATTATTATGAAGCAGTCGGCAGATAGCCATTTATTGTCACGTTATTACCTCATATTATCCGCCATATCGAGCTATATCGAGCGTACCGCTCCAAAGAGAACGTCGTTTGCATTCGTTCTCGCGGTCGCTCGATCGCAAAAGCTGCGGGATTATCACGGCGCGATGCGCTGCCGACGGCTGCATTATTTCCGATTGTCTCATCGCTTAAAGATCGCTCAAGTGTGTATCACCGTGAGAAACGAACGTTGAAAATAGCAGGCCATTTCGCGCACAATGCTGCGAAATCTCGAAAACATCGAAACGCCGACGTAAAATCGCAAAATGGAAAAGTACAAAGCAGCGTGAGTTTGGAACTGCAGACAGGCAAGATATAAAACGCTAGGTGATGAATATTGAAACGCGCGGTAAATATGACTCGCTCGCGGAATGTCTGCCGTGCCTGTAGTCCTCGTTCGCGCTTGACGGATGCTGTTTAAATAACTTTCACATGGGAAAGAGAAATCCTACGGGAGTAACTTTTTTTTCCGTACCTCCATCTATCTGATCTAATCCAAGCCGACGCGCGAGAAGAAGAAAATCGCGGAATATCGCTTCGACAGCTTACACTACTCGATGATTCAAGCGTTTAGACTCGACTGATACTTTACTCGAGAGACTCGTAAGCATACGCGTGTTGTTTCGTACACATATACAGTATACGTATATATATATATATATATATATACAGGTGTACGCACGCATGTATACATATACATATATAATACATATATAATATATATATATATATATATATATATATATATATGCGTATGTGTGTATGTGCATGTGTGTATATATACATGATATAATATATACGCATGTGCACATATAAGTCGCGTTCACGAGCGGGCGACGTGTTCGTTACAACGTTAGATCCTCGCCGAGCACCCACCTGTACACCGGGTCTTTATCGAGCCACGAATTGTTTGCGGAATGAAAATATTGTCCCTGTAAACAAGTGACTACATTGTGCCGAGCGCGCCGTTCTCTTCGTTATAACAAATCGCTCCCTCCACACCGCGTGGAACACCCTTGGAACACAAGCACGCGCAATCGAGAGAGAGAGAGAGAGAGAGAGAGAGAGAGAGGGGGGAGGAGAGAGAGAGAGAGAGAGAACTATTTGTTTCGGTTAGTACCGATCCTTAATCTACGATTAAATAACGATTTGCTATTTGGCTTAGATTACGCGTATCGCGAACCTTCATCGATCCGATCGAACGCCCGACGGCAAACGCGGTGGTTAATTGAACGCGGCTTTCACACAGAGAGACCGCGAGGCGAAAAATTCGACTGTCTAATGTAAAATGCAACGGGGAAGATTTCTCATCGGTTTTCCAGGCAATCTAGCTCTTTCCTTTTTTTTTTTTCTATCTTTTTAAACTGCACACCGTTTTTAGCCACCGTAGCGGCCGAACAGACGCGCGATTGCGTTATAGCCGTATGATTACGCAAACTCGTGACGCGAGAGTCAACCGGGTTGTTCGTTTGAAAATTTCATCCGCCCAAAATTGCCCGGTTTAATTTTTACTTGCCGCGGCTGATTAATGATTCATTTATTATTCACGGGTAGATTATGATATAATCGTATATTTGAAAATACGCTGCTGCCGAGTCAACGATATTAAATCAATGAAATATTAAATTACCAGCCGTAAAATTTCCAGCCGGCTTTTCTTCTCCATTGAGAACCGATGAAAATAGCAACAATCAGTGTCCACAAACAGATATCACAGATGACTCTATCGAGCCCGAAGAAGGGAGGGAGTAAGGGAGAAGAAGAGAAAGAAGAAGGTAATAGCAACGAGGCGAGAGAGCGGAGTTGCGAGATGTTGTATTAAACGTTTATGTGAACCACATATACGTAATACGGCCGCGCTCGATCATTCGGCATACATATTGGCCGCGACGATCGTGCGGGGATTGTTTAACTTTCGGGACTCGAGGGAAAGGTGCAAGCCCGAGAGCCTGAGAGCTTGATAAAAAGTGTTTTGTCATTTTTATAAGGGAGACAAAGAGGTTGACACGCGGGTCGCGGGGTAGACCGGCCGGTGGACCGACGCGGCTTTGTGGAGCTTCTGAAGGATCCTACCTGGGTACCACGTGGGTGGTCTCCTCTCTTCCTCTCGCCTCCCCCCCCCCCTCCCCCGTACCTCGTATTATTAACGCCGGTGATAACTCGTCGGCACACAAGGGCGTTATAACGCCCTTCCTTCCTCCGGACCTTCGTTTCCACTCTTTCCTCCTCTTCTTCTCCTACTTGTTCTCTATCTATATGTGCGTATTTCGCTGCCTGAATGGCGCGCGCCTCGTACATCCGCGAAAAGGGCGATCGTGCGTTCGTCGAGGAGAACCTCTCACGTCGGATCCCATTCTGCTCGTTTCTAACCACCCGTCCATTTGTTTATACATTAGGCGTTTCAACGACGAATTATCTTCTCGACTGGTCGGAAAGCGCCGCGGGTGTGTGGGTGTCTTTTCTGTCGCCTGGGTGCCTGTTCTGTCTGTTATATAAGTTTGTTAAGTCGTTCAGGAACACGTATGTACCTGCTACATAACGGGTCCTAATCTGCTCCTTTATTGTTATTATATTTTCACCGTACATCACCGAAGGTCTCTCTCATTCTTCCCCTTTCCTTTGCCAACAAGAATGGCTGCTCAATATCCTGCTCCAGTTAGCGGTCT